GGAGACAGCAACAGGAGGAAAGGCATCGAGCATCCGCCTCTGGTCGCACAGCAAAGCGTTCGATCTCGGAGGACGAACGGGTCACGAAGCCACCCGGAGGCGCAGGCATCGGTCCCTCAGGATAAATCCAACTCATCTTTTTTGCTCTAGCCCAACCTACGCAAGACTATCTGTATGACCGGCAAGGAGATAGATGTTGGAAGGCGCGTCGGGAGAGTTCGCCGGGCGACTTTCGACGACGATATTCCTGGACAGAGAAAAAAATAGGTGTTGAAATTCGTTTTCGAGAAAAGTGACAAATAACGCAGGCGGAGGAGGAAGAGAACTGTGAAGTTTAGAGCTCCAAAGTACTTACAGTTCACTACCACAAGTGTACAGACCTTTCACACAAACCAAGGCCTAATTTGCATGTGTGTATGCGAAGTGGTAAAAAGATAAAACAAACTAGGCGGTGGAATGCAGGCAGGTCTGTTACCCAGCGCCCTTGGTATATCTAAGGCCTCGAAATATAGTCCGCACTTTTAGGCAGTTCGTTTCAGCACCCGAAAACTTCACAGGTGGAAGCTCCAAAGGCTCTCGAATCGGTAACGTGTTAAGAACTTTCCCTGTGTCCTGGGTATGAGTCTGTCTATACAATGCAGATCAGAGTGATCTTATTAAATTCCACTGAGCTACCTCAGTCTAAAGAGGCCTGTTAGAGGGCTAAATCTCGAAACAATACAGCAGACTACGTGTATGCAGCCTAACTTCAACCAAACATCGTGAGGCTACCCTCTACCTTACAGTCTCCGTAGTTAGAACACGAGAAAGGCGAAAAAGCGTCGGTCGTGCTGACGCAGAATGACGAAGATGGAAATGTTCGATCACTGGAACAAACAGTTTATTCTCCTGACATTTTGGACTCAGAGACAAAGGCAATAGACGCCGAAGGCGGGTTTTGCCATGCGGTCCCACGCCTGCAGAAACAGTAGCCCCCCAGGTGCTCGCACTTAGCTTCACTTATTTTTCTACGGGCGTCATTCATCAACCTACAGGGTGATATGCCACGCCGCCTTCTGCAGCGGGATCGTGCGGGAGTAGGATATTTAGGCATGCGTAAGCATGGGCAGGGCTCATAAAATCAGTTGTCCTGTGATCACCACAACAACCATAGCATCAGTGATGAAATCGAGGGGATTCGGGGCCCGGTGGGATCAACTAATTTACTACTACACCGAGCGCAAACACCTGCAATTTTTAGGCGTGTGGTGGAGCACCAACTCCATCCAACAAATAAAACATCACTCGGTGTCAGTTGCTGTGCCCAAGGATAGCTTCGAGAGTAAATGCGAGGCGCAATCGAGTCTTCTCAACTGGTTCCGTCAAAAAACTCTTTCACGTGTTTATCGCAATGAATTTAAATAGAAAGTGGGTGGTTAGGGTGCGGTCGAATTCTAGTTCCGAGCTGAAAGCCATTTGAATCTATATAATGTCCTCAAGAAACCTTTAAATTGGAGTCCTATCAGATTTATTGAGAAATAGAAGCAAGTAATTACATCTTCCACACTTATGAAGGTATTATTGACTTACCTGTCGTGTCCGAGAACCCGGTAAATATGCTTGTCATCGTTGATTTCTTGGGTCAACTGAAAGTATGAGGTTCAAATATGACTCAGGAAAGACTAATGGTAAAAATATAATGTCTACTGACAAAGAAAAAGTAGAAGCGTTTTTAAAGAATCCGTTTATGTATTTGGAAAACGCCTGCAGAAGGGATAGAGCAGAGGATTTGTGAAAGAACTTTCAATTACAACAGCTTTATGTCAATTTCGTGAGTTAACTAGTTGAGGGTAGGGATTATTATCTTAACTAGAGGATATCATGACAAGGAGAGCCATGAATAAATAAATAAAAACAAGCAATTCTTAAACAGTTTTGCCGACCCACGAAAGTCAGAGAGCCCAGTAGAGGTCAGTCGAAATGCCAAGTCGATCACCGGAGAAAAGGATATTACTATTTCTAGTCACTACAGGTAGTCCGGAATGCATCAGTATAGACTAAATAAGAACAACAGGAAAGGGGGTTGCATGCCAATGGCAAGTCGGTTTACGCCATTTGACGCTTGAATTAGTCGATATCTAGTTTTCTTCCCATGCACCCGAGAGAAATTCCAAAATCTCAATAGAATATCCCATTACTACCGCTTATCTATATGTCTTCGTCATTTAAATTGGGAATGTTCCTGAGCCGTGTGACTTAAATGTGATTCAAATAAAACGGGATGGAACATGGGAGGACAAAAAGGTCACGTAAGCACACTAACTAATGCACTAACGGATAAAGGCTGGACCTCTTTTAATCGTAAAAAAACGTCGAGCTTGACATTACACTGCAGAGCCAGTGCTCAAGAAAGAGCTAGTTAAAAGCTAGCGGAGACATACATGCAGCTACGAGCAGTGCTAATTTGCCAAGACAATGAGAGCTGGAGAAAGCAAAT